GAGGCAAATTCGATTGCGGATTGGCTAGCTAAGAGAGCTTCCTATGGCACTTCAGAAGTTGATTCCTCCTTAGCTAATTTTTCCTGATTTGTAAGAGGATTGTTGGCCCTTGATCAAGAATCTTTTCCATACATTAGAAGTCGCACCATATGATGTATTATTCACTTATTGTTGTAAGTTAAGGGTGAGACCATACTCTGCCCTAATTTATTTTAAGTGAATAAAATCAGGGAGCGATGAAACTAAGGAACTATCTAGGATTTATGTCCATCCATTGGGTAGACCCCTTAGGTGCATGGTACTACATAGCACTGCCTAATATAGTACATACCTCCTGGGTAGACCCCTTGAGTTTTGCTATATTAGTTGTAACCTGAAAGTTATCCTATCCTCCAATTCATTTAATATATATATATATATATATATTCTAGACAACATTGATATATCATATTGTTGGTTGTTGGTGGTCTAATTATATATATATATATATATATATATATATTGTTTGGATAGTGCATTTGGTTTTGTATTTAAGAGGGCAAATGAGATAAAAGGTAAAATGAGAGGTTGGACAAACAACCCCTAAGTATCTTTTTTTTTTTAGGTGAATCAGGGCGGTACCTGGCGGGCATCCCCCTGATTTTATTAATTAAAAGAAAAGATTACAAAGGGCAGTGCTTAAGACTTACCCAATTCAAAAGAGACCGTCTTACAGAAAGTTTTACTAAAAACCCCATGACGGTTCTCTAACAAGATACGACTATGAACTGACTTACAAAGGTAGTAAACAATCCCCTGTTAGTTCTTAATTCAAGTAAAAGCTATTCTAAGAGTATGTCTTACAAAGATCTACACAAAGATCCCATGACAACTCTTTCTTCACATCATCAAAACTACTAACTATTTAAATCTTACATATGGAAAATTATTCCTATCTAGGAAAATCTTGCCTCTCAAAGATGTGGGGAGAAACTCCATAGAGTGATAGTGCAATGTACTTCCCAATGAAGTTTTTTTTTCAAGTTCATCCGCAACACTATTTACCTCGCGAAAAATGTGTATTATCTGCGCATTTGTAGTGAGCATCATCTGTTGAATTTTCCTCAAAATTGTGTAGTGCTTCCAAGGATGATTTTTCTTCTGTTGTAATTGTGTAACAATGCTTGCATTGTCAGATTGTATTATCACTTGTCGAAGCTTGTTGTAATGCCCATGTATCTGCATTCTGCAAAGATAAATCTACCTCTTTCTCCTCTTACAACATTCTGCAAAGATAAATCTACCTCTTTCTCCTCTTACAACATATCCCCAGCCTGCATGTCCTGGTTGTCCAAATGCTGATCCATCTGAATTGAGTACAACTTGTTCTGCGTTAGGAGGGCACATTCTTAATATCTTTGTCTTGTTATTCCTTGGCTTCAAAACCTTTACTTGAAACAAATCTTCGATCTCTTTTTGCTCTTCCAAAGTTGTAGCCTGTAAATCATGCACACTCAACATATTCGCAATATTAGACCAAACCTCTTTTTTCAAAAAATTTAAAGAAAACTTAAAGCCATCATAAATGACTTTATTTCTCATTTTCCAAATTTCCCACAAGAGGAAAATTTGTGTGACCAAGAGTACAGATTCTTTTTGCAATAGTGAAGCTGCCCATCTTTTGCCATGTTTGTAAGTTATTCCACCAACCTGCATTTTTTGGAATCAAAAGACCAAAAAGTGAAGCAAAAAATTTCCATGCTAATGATATACATGGACATGCATAAAAAATATGATCTATGGTACCTTCAACTACATGACAAAAAGGACATCGTGAAGGATTCATGACAAAGCCCATTTTTTGCTAAGTTTCTGGAAAAGGAAGTAAACGGTTAAAAAGCTTCCATGCAAAAAAAGAGATTTTTGAAGGAATAAGTTTATTCCAAAAATTTTTAAGGAGAAGAAATTCTTCTCTGCGTGGGCGAGCTTCCTCATATGCTGAGGCAATGGAAAAAGATCCCGTTGAGTTCCTTTTCCAAACCAATTTGTCTGATTCATCGACAAAGGTTAGCTCTAAACTTCGCAATTGCTCCACCGTTTGCTTTCCAAGGAGACCTGCAAAAAAAAAATCAAGAAGAATTCTTTTGAAAGGAAAAATTCTTTCAACGTTTAAATTAGAGGCTGGTGGGTCATCAGGATTGTTCCATATTATGCCGGACTCCAACCATTTAGTATGCCAGAAAGAGGAGGAACCATCACAAATGACCATGGTACTACTCTCGGATACCAGTTGATGAACCATTAGAATTCTTGGCCAGATAGTTTTATCCTTCATTGTAGCCGAGAGAGAACTAATGAATTTCGACCAAATGCCTTGATTTCTCTTCAATTTTCACCATAGTGTCATGGAAAAAGCCTTAGCAACATCCATCAAATTCAGAATACCTAATCCATTTTCAGCAATGGGATAAGTCATTTTACCCCATAATCGCCAATGATGCTTATTCCCCGTCTCTGTTTCACCCCAAAGAAAGTGTTGACATTTACGCTCTATACTCTCAATGATAGATTTCGGGGGAACAATAGCAGCTATAGTGTGAATTGGGATGGCTGAAAGTACATGCTTAATAAGCAAAAGCTTTCTTCCTTGCGAGAGGAAAATATTCTTCCAACTCAACAACTTTGCATCTATGGCTTCAAGTAGATGATGGAAGTATTCTCCTTTCTTCCTTCCTTTAAACAGCTTACACCCCAAATACATAAAAGGGAAAACACTCCTTTGCATTTGCAAAGTCTCCTCAATCATGGCAATATGCTCTTCTCCACTTTTTTCAGATACTAAGTAGGTGCTCTTTTGCTTATTCATTTTTTGCCCTGTAGCATGTTCATAGTCCTGAAAGAAAAACATCAATTGTTGCATTGATCGCTTCAAGCCTTTAGCGAAGATGATAAGATCATCGGCAAAGCATAAATGAGATGGTATTATTGTCCTCGCTGGCATACCATATAAGGCTAAGCGTCCCTCTTCTGTTAGCTTTTTCAAATTCCTCATTAAAGCTTCAGACAACAGAATGAAAAGATTTGGCGATAAAGGGTCTCCCTGCTTTATACCCTGAGAAGCTTGGAAAAAACCAACCGGACTTCCAATTATGAGTATAGAAAACCAAGTTCTAATTAGATGGCTCATTACCAAATTAACAAAGTTCTGATGAAAACCAGATCTCAATAAAATATTCCGCAAAAAGCTCCATGAGACCCTGTCAAAAGCTTTCATCATATCAACTTTGAGGATAAGATTACCCCCTCTGGCTTTTTGAACCAGAAACTGAATAAGATCTTGAGTGAGAAGGATATTATCCGTTATATCACGACCTTCTAAAAATGCCGACTGCTCATTCGAGATCAATCTAGGAATCATTCTTTCAATGAGGATCTTTGTAAAAATTTTGTTGATGAAATTACACAAGCTAATCGGCCGAAAATCCACAAAAGATGTTGCTGTAGCCTTTTTCGGAATCAAAGTAATGATGGTGCTGATTATCGCCCTAGGCATTGGAGTGCCATTCAAGAAATCAATGCAAGCATCTAGCAAATCTTGACGAATTATTGACCAACAATGCCGATAGAAGAAGCCCCCAAATCCATCAACCCCCGGCACACTCTCCGAATCAAGACTAAACACGGCATCTTTTACTTCCTCTTCTGTAATTTGCTGCAATAAACTCATTGTCCTCATCTTACAAAATTGTGGGAATAGCCGATAAGACCTTTTCAGTAGCATCTTCATGGTTGCTTGATTTTTCCTCCGCAAGAAGATTCTTAAAAAACCAAACCGCCTCTTGCTCAATTTCTTTTCTCTCAGAAGTCCAAGAACCATCATGTTTTCTGATTTTGTGAATACCCAACCTAGCTTTCTTCTCAACCAAAGAAGCATGAAAATATTTGGTATTTGAGTCACCATCCCGTAGCCACTACAGTTTTGATTTTTGCTGCAAAAATTCTTCATGCTCGCGCAGCCTAAGAAGTAAAATGCCTTGCAACCGGTGCAGCTCCATCCGGGCAGAATCAGTTCCAGTTTGATCGAACACTTGTTCTTTCTCACGAACAGCATCTTCCATGTCTCTTAGATTCTGAAAAACATCCCCAAAATCGACTTTATTCCAGTCTCTTAGCCGCATCTTTAGTCTTCTGAGCTTTATAGAAAAACCCAACATCCCTGTTTCCGTAACCGGCAACTTCCAATTCTCTTTTACCATGTCCAAAAAATCATCTCTCCTCACTCACATTTTCTGAAACCGGAATAGTTATGGATAGTTATGGTCTTGTTTCAATTTCCGCATTTAAGTGATGTAGGAGTGGCGCATGGTCTGACAACGTTCTTCCTAAATAATGTATCGAAGATTCCGGAAAAGCTTGAATCCGTTCCTGATTGAATAGTATGCGATCAAGTTTCTTTAAAACTCGGCCATTCTGTCTATTCCCTGACCAAGTGAAAGGATTACCCAAAGGATTAAGCTCAAGAAGACCGCAACTTATTGATCCAAGAGTTGAAGTCATCCATTGCACCATGATCCGGCTGCGAGTTACCCTCGTATTCCTCCAAATTTCTGATTACATTATAGTCGCCTCCCACCATCCACGGACTATCTACAATCTGATCAACAAAAGCTTGCAAGTCTGACCATAACAATTGGCGCTCACTTCTTGTGGATTTTGCATACACAGCCGATACTAACACCTTTTTAGAAGTCTTACAACTTTCAACTTCGAAGTGCAGAACTTGTTCTGAACCTCCCAAAACCTTAGCTGACCATTCCGACGAAAACAGAACCCATATCTTGCCAGAGGTAGACGAAAACGCAGCACTAAACTGGATTTTATTCTTCAATTCTTCCAACTTATTCAAAGGCAACATAGGCTCCAAAAGAATTAAAAAAGAAACTTTATGCAAATTAATTAACTTCCTGAGACGACGAACAGACGCTTTATTTCCTACACCACAAATATTCCATAGTAATTGATTACTCTTTATTAACGGTTAAAGGAAGATCACCATTGATTCTCGATGATTTTTGAGTTTCACCGCCTTGAAGCTTCTTGTTCTTAACAGACCCTTTAGGCCTCCCCGGCCTTTTCTTTTGACCTTCTTCATCCGATTCCACAACCCTGAGAAGCGGAAGATTATGTCCCTCAGTTTGTTTTCCAACTTCTATATCATCCTGCTCATATTCAAGATTCGCAGCAAACTGCGTCGCAACCTGCTCTTGAAGTTCCTCCAATTCAGAATCAGAGACCTCCACCCTTTGCAACTCATTCTCAGTTATCACAGCAGCCCCTCTGTCAGTTTCATTATGCTGATCCTCAGCCATAGCAGCTAAAACTTCAAATCGCGACGACAAGTTTACCTGCGGATGGAAGACAGCGAGCTGTTTCCCTAGGGCTTATTCCGGAATTGAGGCTTCAATTTCAGTCTCCCAACTATCTTCGTCAGAAACATTCTTCTCTATTATGGTGCTCAACTGTTCTTTAGAAATCTTTCTGTCTGCTGAGGGGAGGGTTTTACTTGGCGTTACATCCGCTACATCAATCGGAATTCTGCCTTTTTCCGCCGCTGCGACACCCGATGTTGAAGCTTTATTCCCTGGATCCTCCGCAGTCGCAGTCTTCAACAGAGCTGCTTCTTTCCTTGAGTTAAAATATCAGAAGCAGAATCAATTTTACCTTTACCCGGTTCTTCAGAAGTAGGAGAAGCCTTCTGTTTCCAGTCGTTCTTATTTACTTGATTTCTCCCCTTAACCACCTCCGCAGCCAAAACACTTTTGGTTTGATTTTCCGCAACCTTAGGTTTTGTGCGTGGAACTTCAGCATCATTTCTTTTCCCATTTACATGTCGACACTCCAATTCAGCATGGCCTATCTTTCTTCACTTCAAGCAATAATCCGGAAAATTTTCATAAGTAACCGCCTGAAAATATGAGTTCTCCGCAGTACCAAGCCTTATCCTCTTTGGTAAATTATGTAGTAATTCTACCTCTGCACACACCCTTGCAATTGATGGCCTTGACATGTTCAAGGTTGGAACATGGATCTTCAATGGCGTCCCTATAATTCCAGCCAGTTTGCGCAAATTCCGCATTAAATCGGTGAATCGGCAAACCCTCAAAAGCTACCCAAACTGGAGATATAGAAGACTCATGCTCCGGGTTGAACTCCGGAGTCCACTTCAAAACTCTCATGATATGATTATCAAACATCCAAAGACCTTTAATCCGTTGGAAGTCATCTTCTTGATCAAAACAAATCAAGACAAGCCGATGATCAAGCATTCCTAAAGAGAATTCACCCTTGAACCCTATTTTTTGAAATTGAGCCCACAAATACTCCATTGAAGGCCTCCCTTTCGAGAATTTACCAATGAGCGCATTTTTGAATGGTTCCGCCAATTTGTCATCCTCCTCCTTGGTTAACAAGAATGCTGGCTCACCTTTGTAAACCGTTGGACTAGAATGGATAAAAGATTCTTCGCCGTTTGGATTTTCAGTGCTTTTAAACATCTTCCTTGGATTCGGCTTTGCTCCCTTCAAAATTTCGCTAAAAGATAGATTTTTTTCATCAGGCGGCCGTTTGGCCGCCATATTGCTATTAGGGTTCGGACAGAAAAAGTTAGAGAGAAGGCAGAGAAAAAATTTTTAGAGAGAGAAAAAATTTTACCCCTAAGTATGTTTTATTAAGACCTGCAAAACCATAAATTTTTCTGTGAAAAAAAAGAAGAAAACTCCACGACACCATATCAAATGCTTTCATCGTATAAACTTTCACAATCACTTTTTTGTAAGAACTTTTGATTTAGCAAAGTTTTATCTGTGTAATCCCTTCCAACCAAAAATGTTGGCTCCTCTTTAGATATTTCACTAATCTGTTTGAGAAAATATTGTCTCTTCCAAATTCCATTGGTTCAGTGATCCATTATCAATTTTGAGCTTAAATCTTTTGGATTTTTGATCAACACATTTCTCAGGCACTGTTACATGAAAGTGACAATTGTTATCACTTGCTTTAAGTCATTTAAGCCTCATTTTTTGTCTTATATTTTTTGCCTCATTTTATTCTAAGGCAATGTTACATTGACATATTTAATTAGCTAAAAATGTTTGGAGGACATTCACGATATAGAAAATGACAATAAGAGCAGAGAACGGTTTTTTTACTATTGTTTACATGATTTTTTTTTGTTTTTTCGATAAAATATTGATATATTTTATTAGTAAAAATTGTTTGGATGACATTCATGATATTGAACATGATAGGGAGATGAGATATATATAGATGCCAATTGAAAATGATAGTTAGAGGCAACGCGCAGACACCAACAATGAAAATGACAGTTTGAAGAGATGCATAGACGTGGATATCTCTATGATTAAACAATCTCTATTTTCTTGACAATATGGAGAACCAATAATAGAGTCGTCACAATTATGACCAATTCTAACGACAACTAAGGCACCAAGTATTTGAAACTTCTTTGCATTAGTAACATGTCACCGGAGAAATACTTAGATAAATGGTGTATTGAACAAGACCAACAACATTGATACTCTAGACGAGAGTACTATCTGGATGAACGTGTGGATATCCATACAAAGGCAACAATTCATAATCCCACTAACATAGATCCACGTGTGAAATTCTTCAAACGATTTCTTCTGTATAATTATATCAAATGTAACCCCACATGCACATCCATTTTAACAATTACTTTAGAGTTTAGTATGGTTCAAATGATACATTGGAAAAAATTAAGCATCATTATACTTATGGGTGCCGGATGAATACAAATGATGGGAATATATTGAAGATTCCCAAATCCTATTTTGTCTAGCAAAGATGAGATATTAAGCCACTTGATCATTGAAGACTTGATAGAGGAATCAAGTATGTTCTTTCTCAATTCGACAGTAAGTTCAATCCGATCCCAAAGACCCCATATCAGAACAAGGATTTTCAAGTTGTCGAATTTCTATACTTGATTTTTTTTGTGACGATTTAAAAATTATAACCATTGTCGGAATATGAAATATGATATTGGTCCTATTCTATAATATCACAAAAAAATAACTCTCAAATTTACAAAAATCTATTAGGAAAAAACACACTTATACCACATGCAACAACACTTCCTTTCCATCAGTTATGATGAAAAAAAAAAAAAGAGAGAAAAGAAAAGAAAACCAAAATCACAATCCTACTGTGATAGTGATTTAACCATTATAAGAAATTCAATATCACACATAAAATCAGTCACCAAAAATTCCATTCATGTGCAGCATAAATTTCTTTAACCTACTCCAATAAAAAAGGTTACAAAATCTCATCCATCCGTAGACAAAGAAAAACTTTTGTTTTAACATGTGAAGAATGTTTTCATGCTCCATTTATAGTGCAAGCCGACTAGGGTTTATGTTTCTGCGCAGCACCTCATCACAACGACTTCGAATTGATTCGGAGTCTATCTTCATCGCATCAATCATAGTCTTTTTTACCTTGATCTGATTATCTTCTTCTTAAATACACATAATTCCAAACATGTTTATCTATATATTTTCCTTCTAAAATTATTATGTAAATTTCAAATTTACATATTACTGCCATTAAATAGTCTAATCTCACAAATTTTGTATTTAATTAAAAGCAAAATTACCTTGAGTAACAAAGTAAACAAGAGATAAATTTTGTTTAAACAGTTTTACATATTTAAAGGTTTACGGTTTAATTTAAGTAAAACATGGTGATAATACATGCCACAAAATACTATTGATTATCTCATTGAACTCTATTTTTCTTGAGATTAACTCTCCTTGCATCCATTGCACTTTGCGCGACACACTCTGTTATTAATTTTATGAGATGATATACGAAATATATATATATACATATTTATATATATATATATATAAAGAACATAGAATATGAACATTAAAAGGAATAAAATGAAAGAAATGTAGCTGCAACAAACATTATAAGGGGAAAATGTAAGAATATTAATAAGCCAAAGTGAGGTTTAAGGCAGTAGATATTTTCCCTCGAAAACATTTTAAAACGCTCTCAAATTGACAAATCGGCCATCTTTGAAACATAATCAGGATTCAAAATGAAATTTTTAATTTATCAATAGCATATATATATATATATATATATATATATGTATATATATATATGAATTGGTTACTAATCTAGGTATCAAAACATAAAATAGGGGAAACATAGAACAACGAAATGCATTATGAAATAAACAAGCTAAAAATCAGCATTATGAGAGAAAAAGGGCGAACGTTCTAGTGTATAAACCAAATCAAAGGGTAGAGTCTTCACAAAACAAACATGAATCCATAATGCATTACACTAACATATCCCCACAACAAATCAACCAGCTTTCTCTCTCCCCGCTACTAGGGGTGCTTTCATGTTGGTTGTGTGAGATTGATTCTCTACTTTTCTGGCATGCCTTAGTGTGCCCACAATGGTAAGGAAAATGAAGAAGAGGGGGAAACTGGTGACGGAAGAGGTTGAGCAACCTCATCAGGAATGATTTCATCCGATCGGGTCTGCCAAATCAAAATCAGCGGTACATGTAAGTAAGTCTAAATCTTGGACAGAGGAAATTGTCATAATTTATTTAAAAATTTATGTAATCGGAGGATAGTACAAGTTGGGGAAGCGTCAGGAAGTAAGATTGAGAATCATGAAGAAGGGAATTGTGATGCTATAGTTAAAGTGGAAAAGGGAATTTGGGGAAAACTAAACCCTAGCATACTTCATTGTATGAATATGAATTTAGAATATATTGAACCACAAATAGTTCAGGGCAGGGATGTTGCAAAGATACAGAAAAGTGAAATTCAGGAAGCTATAGATTATTGGAGGTCCTCTGTAATTTCACTATGTGTTGTGGGTAATCCTTCTTTTTTTTGTAAATGGTTATCTACGAAGAATTTGGGGGAAGTAGGGGGTTGATAAAGTGCTATTTATGGACAATGGGGTTTATAATGTTAGGTTCAGGTCAAATACTGCTAAAGATGAGGTTTTAAGGAGTAATGTTTACCATTTTGGCCTTTAATAATGAAAGATTGGTTCATTGAGGTTGGATTAAAGCTGGAAAATGTGAAAATGGTTCATGTTTGGGTGCAGCTACCTAAGCTGTAGCTCAAGTATATTGGACAACAAAGACTCTTAGTAGAATCACTAGTGTCCTGGATAAGCCTCTTGAAATGGATGCAAAATGGTTCTTATTTGGGTGCAGCTACCTAAACTGCAACTCAAGTGTCGGACAACAAAGACTCTTAGTAGAATCACTAGTATCCTGGGTAAGGCTTCCTCCTTAATTTGTTCATCTATTTATAGTGCAAAATTAGCACGTTGCTGCTCCATAAAATCAGAAGTTAAATCTCCCACTTCGATAAGATTTAACGTTAATGGCCATAATTGTTTTTTTTAAAACCAAGTCAAAAATTGAGGAATTCAAGTGCTCGACTTTTTCTACTTTTGACTTATCAATTTTATTTATCTGAAACATGATAAAACTAAGTCAAAGCTCTAACTAATTTATTTTACTCATAGTAAAGTTTCTTTACTCATTAAAATCTATTTGAAATATTGTTAATTTATACAACATTATGTGTATATGGTACGGTGTTGTCCTGTAACTGCCCGCTCACTGAAGGAATGTAAATTTCTTGGAAAACAAATTTGTCAAAAATGTTGTTTATTCTATGCTTCCTTGCAATATTGGCTGGCTAGATTTTCTTTTCTCATTATGTTATACAGGCGAGTGGAAAGTTTTTTGGAGTGGCAATTAGCAACGAATCTCCCTCAGCGACTCATTTTTTCTTGACAAACGCTTTGCTTTTCAGGCCCGGCCAGAGAATCAATCTTAGTAAATCTGTAGTGTTAAGCCTCAAAAGTGTCTGATGAGATTGTGCAAAAGTTGGGCATCCCGCGAACCCAAAATTGTCCATGTGAAGAATCTAAGATCAATAAAAATCATGGAAAATAGCTAGGGTTACACACGTAGGAAAAGAATCTTTTTAAAGACAAAAGGACAAAGTGTGGAAACATACACTAGGGTGTCTTGATCAAGAGTGTATTATAAGCCATTCCTACAATGCATCTCCTATTTAATGTTGTCCAAAATCATAATGTGTGATCTGGAGACGATGACATCATACTGGTGGAATGATGAGGATGATAAGGGGACAGGTTGTACAAGCTTCAGGATACATAAAGCAGTTAAAAGAAAGGGCACATTTCAAGTCAGGCTATTGTTGTGAACCCTTTCTGTAGTGGCACTATATGAATGTAATAGCAATTACAACGAAATTTCCATCTTACTATGTCAGTCGAATACATGGATCATATGTAGCACCATAGTCGGTAATGTCCTTTACAAAGAATAAGAACATCGTACGAAAAAATGTTGCATAAACTTGAGAAACCTTATTTAATTAACTCCAGCCTTTTAAGAACTTCACCATCAAATGAACTTCTCTCAGTGAACCAGATGCTGACAGGTGCTTCATAACTCAAAGGTCATGTTTTCAGCCTCCTTCCTCAAGGAATCAAACAAAACTGTGGATAG